GGGCCCTGCTCAGGATCCATCTTCTCTTCCTTGCCTTCTCCCCTTTGCAGCTCTCTTACAGTCTGTGTCCTCTTGCAGAGCACCATCCAATCCCACACAAAGATGTCTTGCTACGACCTGTGCCCACCAAAATCCAGCGTTGCCATCCCCCAGCCCATCGCTGAGAGCTGCAATGATCTGTGTGCCCGCCAGTGCCCTGACTCGTCAGCCTTCATCCAGCCGCCACCCGTGGTGGTCACCTTCCCCGGCCCCATCCTCAGCTCCTTCCCCCAGCAGGCCGTGGTGGGCTCCTCCGGAGCACCCGCCTTTGGGGGCTCCCTGGGGCTGGGGGGCCTGTACGGTGCCGGGGCCACGCAGGGCTCGGGGGGCCTCTGCACCTTTGGCAGAGCCTACGCTTCTCCTGCCTGCAGCCCTTGCGTGGTGCCCCGCTACAGCAAGAAGCTGTGGGACACCTGTGGGCCCTGCTAGACCCACACACACAGCCCCTGCTGCTGCCCCAAGCGAAGATGCCAAGGCCTCAGGAGCTACCAGTCCTGCACCAAGGCAGTATCTGGAGTGAGAGGCAATGACTGGGAAAGGATGCGTCTCTCTGCCTCCCCCAACATAGAGCAACACTCTGGGTCTTTCCCATCCTCTCTCTGATAAACTATCTTGCTCATCTGTGCATAATAAAAGTTTCTTGCATCCAAGTCATGTCTCCCTCCCTCCTTATCCCAAGTTGGAAAGACCCTGGTGTCTGGTGCCTAACAGCTTTGGGAGAGAAAATGCTGGTCCTGAGGTGCCCAGGCCAGGTAAGGGTGGGCAGTGCTGGGTGAGGGAGGTTTCTGGCTGAAGGCAGGGGAGACAACACCTTTATGTGCTGGTTGTGGGAGACGGAAAGAGAGTCCGGCAATGGGGCAAAGAGGTGATGTAGGGACAGGGAGAATGAAGGGACATGATGCATTACAGAGGAGTCTAGAAAGACTCGAGTATTCGGCAATGATTAATGGGATGAAATCTGAGGAG